TTCGAGGAAATAAGCATTTAAGATTTACTTCGTAATTTTTAATACAGATATTTTGAGTTTTTATGTATTTTTGCCTTGTCGCGAAGTGAAAACTGAATTAATTGAATGAGAAAGGCTCAATCGTCTGTGAAAAACTGTTACTTTTTTGTTTTGTTTGCTTAATTTCTTTTATACATAGTTCTAGCTTTATTATAGTATTTGAATAGAACATGTGGCAACGATTAGATAATTCTTTAAATGATATAAATTTTGTGCATTCTGAGTTTATATGAACGAAATATAATACTGTTAAGTAAACCTAGCGCCAGAGTGTCGCTATGGTAAACAAAGTGAATTTTAAAGAATGCATTTATTCTATTGTGGTTTATGCGCTGTCGGCGAAGTAGGTTTAATTCAATCTAATAAGTTAAAATAAAGTAGAAGAAAAAATGCGTATAATTTAATATTCCGCACAAGGAAGTCATGTGGTGTACACATCAGATTTTTTTTTATATATGAAGGAAATAATCCCTTCTGCCACGATAACTATTAACATCGTAAGATTTTTTACAACAAAGTCAGGTCAGTGGTTATCTCACGCGGCGTTTAGTAACATCAGAACAAGTTCACAAAATTATCGTGGCAAGGATTACAAGATGGCTCCTGTCGTTGGCAATAGCCTTGATCACCATACAGTTGGCAGAACCGCTTTGCTTATTTTCGACCCCAGCTCTGAAAGAGAGCAGCCCGGGAGCACGGGTCTGAGGTTCACCCACTCCTCTTTCCCTACGACCAACCTCTCGAGAGGACTATCACTTCGCCGCTCTTTAGAGGGCTTCCATGCTGCAAAGATATTATACATTTACAAACATCCATGCCTTTTTCGGGATTCGAAACCGAGCTCTTTGGTACGGCAGTTAACGTCGCTACCCACTATCGCAATTAGGCGGCCCTAATAATCTTCCATAAAAAGAAGTTTGAACGTTTACGTTTGATTGCTTTTATATTCATTTAAAGTCACTAAAGTAAGAAAGAAGGCTTGAAAGTGATACTTACCATTTGACATGGCGAAAAAAGTTATTTCCGTCATAGTTGATCAAAAATGGCTGCAGCCTTTCTTGTCATTTGAGTTTTCAAATACAGCATCGTTTCACATCACATCACCTCAGATAAACCAGGTGTATTCAGACATCTGCACAGCACCAATCATCAGCTTCTCCTCGTCATTAATTACATTACTGATGGATTCAATTGCAAATTTCCTACCGGCGCAATTTTCTTAGATATTGCCAAAGCCTTTGACAGAGTGTGGCACTAAGGACTTATATTCAAACTAATTCAGCTCAATTTTCCGAACCACTTTATTCGACTTATTGCCTCTTACCTCAGCAATCCCACTTTTGCTGTCAAAGTTGGAAACACCCTCTCAACTACTAGAAATATTACTGCAAGTGTCCCTCAAGGCTCCGTTCTCTCTCCTTTTCTTTACAAATATTTATACTCAAGACATTCCAAAAGAATCTCATATTTCTATCGCCTTATTTGCCGACGATACCACTATCCTATTTCAAGCTTCAACCATCAATACTATACAAATTTTGCTACAAAACTATTTGGAGCTTCTTGAAAATTGGATGACGCTGTAGAGAATTGACGTTAACACTGACAACACCAAAACCTTTATTTTCAGAAAAGGACAAACAAACTTCCTTCCGCCTAATCCCATCTTCTTTGACGACGATATTCAGTGGACGGATCAAGTGAAGTACATCGGAGTCACACTTGACAAAAAACTCACTTTTCTGCAACATTTACACGAAACCGTCAGGAAATTCAATAATCTCAACAGCTACTATGCGTCCTCTCCTCGGCAGACATAGCAATCTGACTATCAACAATAAACTTGTTTATACAAGTCTATTCTTAGACCTGCTTTACGCCAGTCCGGTATGGGGACACGCCGCTAAAACCCACATAAAAAAGATCCAAGTTATTCAAAACAAAACCCTTCGTGAAATTATTAATGCACCCTGGTTCATTCCAAATTCATATATTCACAGAGATCTTCAAATTGATACCATACAAAATTATATCAAAAAATTTGCACCAAATTTTTTCCTTTCTGTACTATTACATCCAAACAGCTGTATCAGTTCTTTTGCGATGCTCACCTTTTCCTCGAGAATGTTAATTATTTGAAGGACCTACTACCTTACTGAACCAACTTTTTTTCACATTGCTTGTCTATTAATTCATTACATCTTTCTTCGCCGACTGAGGGCGGCTAAGTGAAATATCCCATTCTACCATCTTGATTCTTCTTATCATCCTTTTGTTGTTCCAGACATTCTTTTATCTGATTCAGAGTAAAAGCGCGCTGTCGCGCGCTTGCACTTTCTTTCCATTCGGCACAGTCAAGATAAACCAGGTGCTGCTATTATTCTTTTATGTTAATGGGAAATTATTTACAATAACGCTCAAGTTTTCGCAAGATTGAAGCAATTATAATGCACTATTGTAAAGCAATATTCTCGTTTGTTAAAATTCTGTTTTTTAAATTCCTACTATTAGCTCACACTCCCCTTATATCTTGTTCAAATTTCAAATCATTAATAAAATTAATAAAATACGTTTTTTTTTTTCATCCGCTCAAGTTCAAATACGTTATCTAAAACTTGTAGTAGATGACACTTGATGTTTATACAGTTTTCTCACATATTAAAGTCAATTCCTACTTATGTATTCCTGTTTATCGGAAATAAAGATATGCTGTTTTTATTTTAAATAAAGACAGCATAATTATTTTATTAATTTAATTTATTTTAAATAAGACTTACAAATAATGACCGTTTATTAGGAATTCTCACTTGCTGTAAAAATTAATTTTATAACAACTTATAAATAATAGTACATAACTATGAGAAATGGGATTGCGATATTTAACAAAACTAAATGGCAACGGTAAGACAGAGTTCTAAAGATTTTTAAAGTGTATGGAATTAAACAATTGCAGTTTTATAGAGTTGAATGAAGCGGATGTAATGTTCCATTATGCAGCGAAAATTCTCCCCATGTTTCTATGTTAACGTGATAATAATATATGTTTAAAATATAACCCTTTAAAATGTCCCTTGTTTCACAAACGGAGAATGCGAAAAGAAACTATAACAGAACGCAGGCGACGATTAGAGATAGGAAAACATTAGCGTCAAGAGAAGCTTCTTACGAAAACTCTTCGCAGCAGGTCAAGCATATGTCGCCTTGAGTCGTGTAAAATTATTAGATAGAATATTAATTGGAGAACTGGATTGCTCGAAACTCACTGGAAAGGTTCCTTGCAATAACGTAGCATTGCAAGAGATGGATAGAATGAGAAATTATAGACCACCATCAGCTTCATAAATTTGAAAGGAAAAAATGTTAGTAATGTTTATAAAAAGCAACTAAAGTAAATTTTTCTTTGTTGACCTAAGTAGGATTTGACTAATTTTTTTTTTTTTATTTTACTTGTATTTAGTTAAAATTAAACGATTGCAGGAAAAAGGCTTAACAGTGGATTTCACTTAATAATACCAGAAGCACTCTGGAGATGGACGAACGCATACCAACAATAGAGCAACAACTCAATCTCTAAAAAATCCCGGTTTCATAAATAACAGAGGAATAGTATCTCGTCCGGTACAGCTCTGTTTGGGATGCCATAATTTACCTGATGTGACACACAATAGCCAGACTTCGCTTTTTACTACCGAAATACAAACAGACGGAATCCTGGTCACTTTCATTTTGCAGCTTGCGAATAAAAAATTTAATGTGCTAGTCGACTGTCAAGCTTATCAGACGCATTTCAAAGTTCGCATTAGAAAATTCACTGGAGATGAAATGGTAATAGAGAGAATAAGGATATATATCAAGAATGTTTTAAGGAAGAATTCGACATCTTTCGAAAGACCACGATAACTTCTTTTCGACTAAATGCTATGGTAATATAACATTTTATTTATACATTTTGGTCTTATATAAAACTGGAATTCAGTTCTGGTATGTTGGTTTGACAGTAAGTCAGAAACATTTAGTTCAGATTATAGCATTACATAACATTATAAAACACGAACAACAAAAATTGTTATTGATATTAAAAATACGCTTGAATAATTTTTGATTAAAACTTTATTAGCCCAAGGGGGAAATTTGCAAAATAATACGTATCTCAGTGTAGCATATTTTTTCTTTACAAATTTTTGGTATAATATTTATTTGCTTGCAAGACTTATTGACTCAAAAGGTGTTGGCCCAGAAGGGCTATTAATTTAGTTTTGGCATTTTCCGACGAAAACTTTAAATGTCTGTTTCACTTTTTAAATTGTTGCAATCAAATATTATCAACCTCTGTTATATTTAAAGAAATTAAATAATGAAGAATCTGTCTAAATGTATGTATGTTTCTCGCATTGTGATAAAAACGACGGTACCTACAGGCATCAAATTTCGATTATCCTCCACCGAATACGGGCATCTGAAAGCACTAATTTGGAATTTGTTTTATGATCGATTTCATATTTTGTAACACTTTAACGAATATACCCAAGGATTTGAAAGCGAGCAATGGCAACACTGTACGGAAAAAAGAAAACATTTTTTTATCTCCAGCGCGTGAGACTGTGTATCGGAAATTGTAAAGTTATGCTCATTTTAAAATTATTTTGCCATATTGCTGTTGAATCGAATTTTATGGTTTAAGTGCGAAACACATGATATTTAATACATAAAGGTAACACACAAAATGTAATGTAAATGTATGGCCTTCGGGCATAATGTAAAATCTGAAAGCATTTAGATTTTTTTAAAAATTTTATGCTGTGTGTTTTGAATTAAATTACATCACTGATGGTCTGAAGAGGGAAATTTCACGTTTAATATATGCAATGAGCATCAAAATGGATATTTATAAGAAATTGTTAATATTATTATTTTGCTTTACCGAAAATATTTTTATGAACTAACTATGTTTTAATTTTTAGGGTAAATTGGATGTATCAGACCGGTATGGTGCGAAGATGCATCGATCACACTGCTTGACTGTCAACGTGGGTCCCTGTATTCTGATGACTCGGAAGTATGTTATATTTACGGCTTATGTATCCATGATAGCAGTATCAATTTTCCTGCTGTATTGCGCCATTTGGTTGCCAGATCTTAAACTCTGGTGCAAATTTGGGGAATCGAATCAAAAAGGTGAGTAATCTATTGAACGTTTTCACAAATTATTTCCATCAGACTGCTCTGAAAGGAAATCGAAAATTAAGTTTTCCTGTAAAAATATTACCTAAGGATTATTTAAGTTTTAGAAATGCAGGTAAACTGTAATTTAATGCATAGGTAATCATCGGAAGGAATGCTCTTTAAGCTAATAAAAAACTCCGCACGATAATAAACAGTTGATAGTAACTTAGAATGAAAAAAACTGTATAGTACAAATGTACAAATTTGCGTACATATTTTTACATACATGCTATATAGAAGAATAGCATGTATGTACGTTGTTTGATCCATTTTTAGCTCAATTCTATAATTTATTCTATAATTTAACGTTTATTTTAATCATTGATATTATCAGATAAAAGTATGCTATATTTAGTAGAGATGACCTTTCCTGGTTTTAATCTTTTTAATGGTGCAATTTCAGACGTAACGTCTCTGTTTCACTATCAGTTATGCAGATGATAAATTTGCTTAAGGAAACAATTCTCCATTAAATTGCAGTTTTAAATAAATTTTGCTTTGCTGCCATCTAGGGGCCATTAAAGGAAATACATTTTCACTGCATCGCAGTTTAAATAAGTTTTAATTTGTCGCCATCTAGCGACAGTTAATGAAACCAAAATGTAAGCTCTTTTAAATTCTTATTCATTGCGTTTGTTAAATATATCACTTTAAAATTGTATGGTTCTCAGAAATGCTCAGATTAAAATTAATTACAAAAAATGACTATATGAGGAATAGTTTTCCAGTACATGAAATATTTAGGCAGGCATGTCAATGCAAAATATATAGATATGACACACAAAACAAGACATTAAGTTATATCAACATTTCAATAAATCGCATATAACGTAATTAAATAATATAAAAAATACACGTAAAAAAAAGATAAAAATAAAATCTGAAAGGTTTCAGATTTTAAATTACGTCCAAAGGGCGTTTTTTTAACATTTTGTGTGTTACGTTTATTTATTAAATATCATGTTCTTCGCACTTGCACCATAAAATTCATTTCTAGAGCAATATCGCAACATAATTTTAAATTGAGCATATTTGCAGTTAAAAATGATGTTTCAAAAGCCATCTGCGAAATTCTTTATTTTATTAGCCCAAAGGGGCGTTAGCCAAGAAGGGCTATTAGCCTTGAAATGGCATTTTGTGTTGAATCAATTAAATGCGATGTACCATTTTTCAAATTGTTGCTACCAGATGTTATCGCCCTGTGTTGTATATATTTAAAGAAATTAAAGAATGAAGAATCTGCATGAATGTGTGTATGCTTCTCGCAATGTGAAGAAGCAACGTTATCTAGAGTCATTAAATTCTGAATAACATAGTCCTCCTCCCGAACATGGGCACCTCGGAATCTGGAATTTGTTTTAATGTCGGTTTCATAATTTTTAAATTTTGAGGAATTTTTGATCGAAAAATTTAACAATTTCAAAGCAAGCAGTGGCAACTCTGTAGAGAATAAAACATTTTTATTTCCAGCATGCAAGACTGTCTATTGGAAACTCTAAAGATATGCTGTTTTTAAATAATTTTAGTCCAAAATGAAGTTAACCAAAATACTCTCGAAGCGTGTACGTGTTTGTAAATAAAAAAATCTGATGTGTACACCACATGACTTCCTGTACGGAATATTAAATTATACGCATTTTTCTTGCATTTTATTTAAACTTATTGGATTGAATTAAATCGTCTTCGCCGACAGCGCATAAACCACAATAGAATAAATGCATTCTTTAAAATTCACTCTATTTGTTTACCATAGCGACACTCTGACGCTAGGTTCACTTAACAGTATATATAATACTTAATATTTCGTTCATATTATAACTCAGAATGCATAATATTTATATCATTTAAAGAATTATCTAATCGTTGCCACATATTCTATTCAAATACTATAATAAAGCTAAAACGATGTATAAAAGAAATTAAGCAAACAAAACAAAAAAGAAACAGTTTTTCACAGACGATTGAGTATTTCTCATTCATTTAATTCAGTTCTCACTTCGCGACAAGGCAAAAATACATAAAAACTCAAAATATCTGTATTAAAAATTACGAAGTAACTCTTAAACACTTATTTCCTCGAAAAAACTCCAGAGAGGATTAAGCATGATTTAATTTGCAATATTAAATGAATACGTTATCTTTGCTGTTGCGAAGCTAAGTTTCTCTAGATTGGCAACAAATCTACTAGTCTGCTGTTTCAAATGTAAAACAAGCAATGGCCGCCTTCAAAAAAAATATTAGGCTTAGCGGCACTTAAACAACTTTAATATTGTTGATAATTCTAAAAATATTGCAAACAGATTTACTAAAGGCATAAAAACCTTAACCGGAAGATAAGAACAACATAATTCAATCATTTTTAAAGCAAAAAATGTACAATTTATAAACATATAAGAGTAAAGAAACTGAGATCACTGAGCCGGGTAACAAAGTGGATATATATATAAAACATATTTATATACGTTTGGTGCGGTCGATTGCAACCAAAATACGAGGTGCACATCTACATATTATAGCAGTCCTGTATACAAAATTTCAACGTTCTGAGGCTACTCGTTTTTGAGTTATGCGAGATACGTATGTACATAGGTACGTACATACGTTCGTACAGACGCCACGAAAAATTCTCTTCAGAATTCATTTTAAGGCAGTTTTATAATTTTTTTGGAGGAAAAGAATCTTTTATTCTGTCCTTACGTACAGATATCACGCAAAAACATCCTTAAATTGCATTTGATAGCGGTCAAAATGGATATTTTCGTTGAAATATGCTGCCTGAAACTTTTCGCGATTACAATACTTCGTTTTTACTTCGTACAAGGAAGTAAAAAGGCCCGTTTGGGCTTAACACAAAATGCCGAAAGCTTTCAGATTTTCTTCTTATTTATTTATTTATTAATATTATTAAGCTATAAAACTGTCAGAGTTTCACATCTCTCTGTATCTTATGTTATAGGTTCACAGTTATTGTTATTGTTCCCCGAACTGATGACGATAGCACACTAAAACATTGTTTACAAATTATAAACTCGATAAGTTAAATTGTCAAAAATGTGAAACTAATACAAATGGTGACAAGAGTTTGATGATAAGTAAAAAGTGAAAGACGCCATTTGTAGCTCTAACCGTAATAACTCATGAAGATCTATCAGTTCATTGCATTCTTTGCAAACTGGAATCAATATTTTTGCTATTCTCTCTAACATCAATTTCTCTCGAAATTTTTTCAGGTAAAAATGTCGACAGTTTTCTAGTGCTGCGTGAAAAAGAACGAGCATCCTATGATAAATTAATGCGATACATCCTACATCCCCAAGCCCCTTGCTTGACAGTGGCAACCATTGGTGGAAAGAAGAGACGAAATAAAATGCTCGATGGTGATAAAGTTATATGCCTGGAACCAGGACCTGGACTGAGTGAAGAATGCATAGTGTATTCTTTTGGGTATTGATGTTTTAATATTTATTTAAAAATAATAATGTAAATTTTTCAGTGAAGATTTAATGATTATAGAGGGCAGATCACAAAATGGTAAACCAGATACATAGACTGTGGCCCCCAATTTTCTCCCAAGAAGATATGAATACAAGTCTGTACACAGACTTTTTCAAACGCTTCTTTGTATATAACAAATAGGTTTTCAGTTTTTAGCTGTTTAAGGCTGAGATTAGATTTTATTATTTATAAAAATCTTTATGAAAAGTGTTTCGTTTTCTTGGTATTTAAGGTTTAGGTTAGCATAATCGGGGGACCACACAGTTTTCGAGTGTTGCTTAAATGACAATTTAATTTCAAATATGTTTGTTTTGCTCTTTATTTGTAATTGCTTTTAAATAGGGAATTTGCATGCAATGTTTTTAGACCAATTTGTTTTTTTGAATGGTCAATTTGCATAATGTCAATGTTTCCAACATTTTATGGTTTTTTTTATAGTCAATTTGGTACAACGTAATGTTTTATTCTTTTTTCTAAGTGTTTCAAAAGCGTGTAGGGAAAATTCTGGATAAATTTGAGATTCGATTTTTCGGTTTTATATGAATGTTAATGTTTTAAATGAAAATTTAATTGAGTCTTCTTTCATGTTTTTTCTGATCTCAAATGAACCAGGACTACGAAACGTGTTTTCGAAACGTATTAATTGACTTTTACGAAACTTTAATTCATTTTCCCCTAATGAGTTCTGAATTGGAGTTTCAGTAAAAGGAGATTAATTTTGATATTTTTGTAAGTTTGTATATGTTTCCTTTTCAAATTTTTATTTTTCGAGTTTGTTCTACTAATCAATTCTTATTTTAATTTTGGTATGTTTACATATTGCGTTAAACATCTTATACACGGTTGCAGTTATTAATATTGTTGAGGAATTGCCTTGCTTTGATTCCAATTTACTTTTAACTTTAGATGCTTTAAATATATAACTTTGTATATAGCTAGCTAACAACTAAAAAATGCGAGAATTATACTCGTACACCCAATTCTTTTTTTTACACAATTTTGAAACCAACAAGAACAAATACACGTTTTTAAACGAATTTTTTGTTCTAGCACAAATCTCCCCCTCCCCCTCCCCCACTATTTTTTTTTTTTTTTTTTTTTTTTTTTATAATTTTTTTAATTCTAATTTTGACAGTGGGATCAGAAGCCGGCTGGTTTGTGCCCACACTCATGTTAGTGGCCTGCTTCATCAAAGAACATTAGAAGTTCTTTGACTTCTTTACTTTGTTTACATGGCTTTTTTACTTTGTATTCCAGTGTTTACGGGGAGTACCCGAATATTTAATACCGACGAAACGGGATTATTCTGGAAGAAAATGCCTGAAAGAACATACATAGCAAAATCTGAAAAATCAGCTGATGTTTTTGAAGTAGCCAAAGATCAAATGACGTTCAATTTATCCTGTTCTACTGAGCCGATTGACGAAATTTAACTTGCATTTTTCATGTCTCGAAAGCGCGATTTAGGATATATATTAGGTTTGTATATAGCATTGTAATAGCATAGGTATTCTGACTCTAAATCGGACTTTTTCTGAAATGACATACCAAATATTTTCCATATTTTGATTTTACAGCGCAAATCCTACCAGTCAACGATATTAAGCTCCAAAAAAGTCGTAAACAATTCTTAAAATTTTAGTTGCTTCGTGTTAATTGAATTTGGTATATGTATATTAATATTTCTTTTATATTAAACTTTAAACTTATTTAATTCCTTCTCACTTCGAAATTTAAGTCCAACCCAAATAAAATTCGCGATGTTTTCTGATTTGTTTTTAAAATTCGTATTTTTTAGTAAATTTTTAAATATTAATCTATAAAATTTTTATCACCATCTTAAAGTAGATGCATTTCTACGCATATCTGAACAAAAAAAAAAAAAAAAAAAAAAAAAAAAACTACAAATTACAAATTTTTGTTCAAATTTTCAAAAATATATGTGAATTTAGATACTGGCGCGTTTTGAAATTTGGCTTGTTTTTTATAAGCGATAATAAGGCAAAATGCGCCCTATGCCCTTTATTAAAATTATTTGAAAGGAACGAAGCACCTTTTTATTGGAACGAACCCTTTTTTTCTGCTCGTGCCCACAAAAAAAAAAAAAAAAAAAAAAAAGAAAAAAAAAAAGAAAGGGAAAGCAAAATAAGTTGCTAAGAATTAAGAATTTCGCCAGGTGAATGATTCTTGGCGAAAACTGAAAAAGTGCGCCAAGATAAATTTTTAAATTTCTCGATAAGTTTCTCATCAAATTTTACAAAATATAAAATTTGAGTCATGGAATCTCTAAATATGGAAAACATCGACATGCATTTCAGGAAAATTCCGATTTTGTGTAAAAATACCTGTGTTAGAACAATGCTATATCCTAAGTCGCTCTTTCGAGACTTGAAAAACGCAGATTAAATTTCGTCAATCGGCCCAATAGAACGAGAGATATAGAACTGTTCCTTTTTTTGTGCGAAATGTACGCATCAACATTATGTTACAAATCTGATTCGATGCTACGTGCCCTGAAGTTTATTTAAAACCAAACTTTAAACAAATTATGAAAAATAATTATTTTAATTATTTTCTTTATAATTTTTAACTTTTAAGAAGTCCGAGTAAATTCTTTTAATATATGATAATAATAAAATTTTATTAATTTTGTGGTTTCGATGTTTAAATGTAGCATAGGCAACATATTTTTCAAAATTTTATTTAGAACAGTATTTTTTTAGAAATTGGTGCATAAATAGTCTTTTGAAATGAGCTGAAACCTGAAGTAGAAAAAACAGAAAATATTGAGGTTGTTTTTAGAGTGGATTAGAGAAAAGTTCTGGAATATAAAACTTTGTCCAGATGTTACGTTATTTTTTTATAGTTGCATTGCACTGTGTTTAATTTTAATTTTACTTTTAGCGTCAAAAATTTTTCAAAAATTAATTTTTCTTCAATTAATTTTTAGGTATGGTAGCGAACTTTCGGTAGCAAGGATAAATTTCACATGAAACGAAGATAAAATATTACTTCAAGCTATTTGGTACCATTAACATATAATACTAGTTTCATACTGTTAGGATTTCATACTAGTTTATGATGCCTAAGCACGTCAAACTCTATAACAGTTCTGCTTATTCAGTAATGCTCAAGGCCTTCTTTCACATTAAATGCAATATGATGATATTCGTTAATGATGATTTTAAATGTAATGATTATTTAAAAATATTATTGCATAGATAATGAGAGAAAGCTAATAAAAAATAACTCATCTTGAGAATGGATAACTCTTAATACTGGAATACTTGAACAACCAATAAACTGAACACACACAACATTTCAAGGTGCATCAATATAATTTTCTTCGATTTTTCTTGAATTGTTGGAAGATTTATTGCTAGAAAATTATTATCAGTACATCAACGAAATAAGACATAATAAAAATGCGAGCCAAATGGTACGTAATATCTATCTGAGTTTTGAATCTGTACAAAAATTGCGTGGTAACTTTATAAGTATTTCATCGCGTAAATATAACGCATACATGTTTATGAAACAAAAAATGGTAGAATTTATTTACATAAATATAATATTGTTGTTTTTTACGAGTTCGTGGATTTGGAGTAATTGATGATAACGCTTGATGAAGAGTCAAAACACAATTTATTCGCGAGTAAGCACACAGGACAGTTCGAAAGACAAGTTTACAATCGTCGATAAACTATGATAAACACTCTGAAATAGTCAGCAATAGAGCTTTCAGGATATAACGGTGAAGACAACGTCATGGCAAAGCACTGAAGTACAGCTTTCGACTTCGTCTATCGCTCTCAAGCTAATCTCTGAACCCAAGACACACTACTCCCAGGACAGGCAGGCTATATATAGCTTTAAACCACCTTCGAGAATATTCTTGAGAAAACCGCTAAAAATTGTTCTAGAATATTCTCGCACTGTCTATGGCATACTGCAATTTTGTCCCCAAATATCGTCAGATGGGCGATTTCGCGCCAAATGTGGCAACCCTACCACTTTCTGGTAACTTTAATTCCGCTTTGTGGGGAAGCTATCTCACCTCAGCTAGGTATTTCGCAATAATATTATGCATTAAAATTTAAAAAAAAATAAATGTGTTTATTTAAAGCCACATATGCCGTGTGATGGTAGGCGGCACTTCCAAACGTCATGTTTACGTTTAACTTCCCAGTTATGTCGATCTTGTCACCAGACGCAGTCTGAAGGGTAACACAGGATGGCGTCCAAATAAGTTTATCTTTAAACTGTTCAGCTAAATCTTTCCTAATGATGGTAACATTAGCTCCTGTGTCAATGATCATATTGCAAGGAACTCCATCGATATTCCCATTGATGGACAGTCCGTTATTGTTGCCATTCACTATAGAGATCTTAAGCGCTTTAAAACAGGGTTTTTCATTATTTGGCAACCTCCGTTCCTTGATATGGTCATTTAATTTGTTTCTTGCGTCGTTGCTCAGAAATTGTCTCAATTTTTCGTACCCTGGGGTGTTCTGCAATTCTTTCGTACGTGGCCTTCAGCTCCACAGTTCCAGCACTTTGGTTTCTTGTCAGTCCTTTTCCTTCCCGTGGCATTTAATTGTCTGTTTAAATCGTATGCCTTATTTTCCGTGCTCTGGGGAGTTCTGCAGTTCCTTCGTAGGTGGCCTTCAACACCGCAATTCCAGCACTTTAGGGTCGGTTTCTTTTCACTGATATTTCTTCTTAAGTCATTGAGTTGTCTGGTTATATCGTCTAGACGAACAGTAACTTGATCCCTTGGTTCCTGGACATGAGCAGCTCTGATTGGGTGGCGGTCTCTACGAGTGGCTTGCTGGGCTGCCTCAAATTTCATGGCGTACACTAAAGCGCTTTTCAGATCTTTAACATCCGCCATTCGCAGTGCTTTCTGTATTTCATGGTCCCGGATGCCATCGATGAAATATTGCAGGGACAGGA